AGATACAACAGCCAGTGAAATTCAGAAATCGGGGCTTACAATGCAGTCACATGTTTTATGATTATGAAAGACTGAGGCTTTAGCTAATGATGAATTGGAAGGAAGGTCTGGCTACATAAGCAAAAAAAATGTTTTGTTGCCTTTCATTCACAAATATACCCGTAGAACCCTTAAAAACTGAGTTGGAAGATTTGGACTTGCTTTTTAATACTTTCAAGTCTGTCTTATTTCTCATCTTGGCAGTTCTAAGACAGCCTTGACAATAAGAAACTAAGAAAAGGAAGCATGGTAGGAGGTCCTTACTGTCTTCTTTGCGATATTTAGGAATGTAGTGGGAGATAAGTGGGGAAAAATATATTAATGAATAGTGATTCTTGCAGAGCAGTGCTTTGAAAATATTTTACTCCCTGAACTGGTTAGTGTAAATATTGAAGAACTGGTTGTAAACAAGTTATCTTCACTCTTCTTTGTTCCCCTCAAGTAATTTATGAACCTATAAACCATGCTTTTCAATTGCACTTGAAATGGAAATATAATACAGATAAAAAGTTTTTGTGTAGAAAAACGTTTTCTAAAATGGAAGCATTTTAGTTAATAAGTTATACGGTGTGTGTGTTTAAAAACATTGCCGTTTGGTTTTGAGTTCAACTAGATTTTATTTATCTTCAAATTGTAGATGAAAAAAGTGATGCCAGTATAGCTTCAGTAAGAGGAAAATTTGAAGAACTTTGCTTCCAGGTAATAATTTCTGGTGTCTAATGTAATATTTTTGGTGTTCAATAGAAATGATTGAACTGTTTGAATAGCTTAAATGTGCCTGATGACTTGATGCAGTCAGCAGAAGATTCTATGTAGTTCTGTGTCTTAATGTACGTTTTTAGTAAGTATAGCAAATGAGGTTCAATAACTAATGTCATGAAAACCAATATGAAGTAGTATTATGTCTTCATGTTATTAGTTTACCAGAGAAAGCCACGCAATGTATTTCAAAGACCAGGCAACCATGAGAAAGGCTATTACAGGTTTGGAAAAAGAATAACCAGATGAATCCCAAAGTGAAAACACTTATAAAAATATGATTGTTCACTTGAGTCTAGCACAAACAGGTAACATAATTTAAAAAAAAAAAAAAAAGAAAATCTGAAAAACATAACAGAACCAGACTGGAATCTTCTGTTGTTGTTTCCCAAACTAGACTATGGGTATCAGGACTACCCAGAGCAGTTACACTGATGAAGAAAATTACAACACACATTTTGTGCGTGCAGCCATTCTAATCCTATGTTCTGCTTGCTCAAATACAGTTACCAAAAATTTATTTCACTTTACTTGTTTAGCGTAGTGCTAGGCATCGTCCTGTGTCTGACAACAGCTAATACAAACTGCTTCAGAAAGCGAGAGTTTCACAATGAAAAACATTTGCCATTTATTACCAAATACTTTTAGATTTGTTGCAGAGTAGATCGTAATTTGTATTTGAATCCATGGGATGCTAATACCTATTAACACTTGCAGCCATAATTACCAGTGCTTTGTAACCTAACACTAGGACTTTTTTCTTTTACTTTGTTTTTATCAGTGGGTCGTCTGAGGCACTGTGTGCTTTTCCTTGCATTGGTAAACTAGCTGGTTACCTTATATGTTCACATACAGTTCCTTCTCAGGATTTTTTTGTGGACATAAAATGTATACATTAAAAATAAGCTTATTCTGGTTGGATATCCTCATCTGAATAATACTAGTGTGAAATAAATCTAAGTAATATGTTTGGGTTTGTCATTGTCAGTAACTTCTGTGTGTTTTAATTATTTTATTTTTTTTCTCTCAAAGGATGTAGATGATGGGGAAGCTCAGGAGAAAGTAAAAGTTCAAGTGGATGTGATAGTGCAAGATTATGCTAGAAAAATTCCCAAATTTATGGTAACATATTTCTCCTGTTCTGTTGTAAGTTATTAGCTAATTAGAATAAAATAAGAACTCTAACTGTGCAGCACAAAGAATTCTAAAACAACTTCTCTGCTGTTCCATCATTATTCCTCTCGTGCTTGCTGTCTGCGTAAATATCACAGTATCTCAGGTCTCTGACAGCGATGATTTGTAAGAAACTGAGCAGATGATATCTAAATTTTTATTTTTCTTTTTTACGTTTATACTTTATTATTTGAACCTTGATGTGCAAGTTGATCTTCACTTCAGAAGGTTTTCTGAAAAGCCTAAATTTGAGGTTTGACGTTTTAGCTTTTTTTCGGTTCTGTGGGTAGAGGGGAACTGGGGGCAAAGGGTTATGTTATATGGTATGGCTTCTGTTTCCTACTGGAGTTGCCAGAGATGTCCAGGTATATATATCCACGTATAAATCATCATATTTGGTTGGGAAAGGTATTAAAATATGATACATAATGTAGAAGTTGCAAAGATGATAAATAGCTTTCCAAGATTAAACTGGTAACTCTTGAAAAGTCTTACTGGAGTCTTAGACTAGACTTTTTCCTCCTTGTCTGATATTTACTAAGCCCCTTAGGACTATATACTAGGTACAGGATCTAGTATAGTAAGGAGAGAGTAGGAGGAGTCACAAATAAGATTTTGATGTTACCTTTAACCTGCAAAAAATATGCATGAGTCTTTTTTTTATTATTTTTTTTCTTTGTTTTTCAGATGGCACCTCAAGCTTCATCAGAAGGTCTTCATTTAGCTTTGCCAGTACCGGAACTGATTGGTACAACTACATCTTTTGGGTGTTGGTCAAATATGTTACTTAGAAAATGTGTTTTTATTAAAATGTATTAGAAATAAATATTTAATTTGTTGAAAACACAGAGGCACTAGTTACCCAACAGAAAAGTTCAACAGGCTGGATTCTTGAAGAGAAGTTAGACATGATTTTGCTTTGAAAAATAGAAAATAAATAACTTGTGTACATAACAGCAGCTTTTCTTAAATAGCCTCAGGAAAAGAATGCATAGTTACAAAATTCAGCAGCATTAAGCTCAACAAAATGAAAGCATAATTTTTTGGTACTGCTTATTTTAAATTCAAGGAATGTAATGAGTAGCTTTGGGTCTGCTGATAACCAATACTAAAAGTGGTACTTCACCAGTAAACCTTCTTTCTTCAGAAGCTCCCCAGAATTGATGCAAACCCAAGATACGCTTGAAATATTTACACCAAAATTCTAACTACTACAAAAAGCATTATCTTCATCACAGTTTATGGCAAGTGAAGTTGCACTGATACTAGCCAAGTACAAAGCTTTCAAGGAATATGGAAATAGAGTAGCAAAACCTGTAGGATAAGGCTGTTCTTCCTCATTGGAAGTCACAAAGAGCAAAGTGTCTGCCTCTACGATGAATATATTTTATATCTGTATATTAAGCTATTTTAAAATAGTTTTTTTCCAACACATTTCTGTCTTCTATTGTCTCTTAATTCAATATGGTTAGGAAAAACATTTTAATTTTTTCCAAATGGATTGTACGTTAATCATCCATTTAGCCTGGCAAAAAGCATAATGAAATATGAATAATGAAATTACAGTAAGGCTATCTGTACCGCATGCAATTATTTTAAGTCATGTAATACATTACTGGAAGTGCCCTAATAGGTTAGGGGTTTTTTTTCTCCTGGTTTTGTTTTGTGATTAATTTGGTTTTCTGAATAGGCAGCCAAGCCGCTGTTCGCAGAAAGAGAGTACAGTTGTCAAATGAATGTTTTTCATCCAGACCTCTACAGTTGCAATTTTCTGGTGTTCCCATTTCACCAAATACAATAACCATACCCAGGCATCAACCCTCTCCAGAACCAAATAAAACTTACGGTGACAGTATCTTGGAAGAATACCAGTCTGCAGATGAGGAATGCTCCTGGAGTAATGTAACTCTTGCAGACTTGTATCCAGCGATGGTAGAGATTCTTACAAGGCACATGACAAAGCAGTCTCGAAGAAAAGAGTTAAAATACATGTTTGCACACTTAAGGCACAAAAGATGGCGTCCTAGAAGACCAAAGCTCAGTGTCACTGTAGACAAGATAAGAGGGTTCAGATCTCTTAAACTGAAGCAAGCATTACCCAGCATATGCAGCAGCAGAAGTGAAGACATCCAGAATCAAACTTTTGGAAATGAGAACAGAGAACTTTGTGATGACACATGTGCCACTAATGATTTATCTGGTCTGGTACCTTATTCTTCCATTGATATAAATGAACTCAGAATGGACTACTCCGACTCACATTTAGAATGTCATTTAGTGTCTGGAAAAGGTCAAAAAGCCTCCAAACAGACTGTGTTTCCTGATGTTATGGCTAGAATGGGGGAGACGTTTCTAGCTGAAGTTGAGTTACAGACTGCTGTCTCACCAAAGAATTCAAAATGCAAAGAAAGTGAAAAACTGGCTTACAAATGTTCCTCAGAATACCGTTTTTCAACACCTACTGCCAGTTCAGGGTCAACAGCACTTTGTCTGGTAAAAGACAGTAAAACTCAAAAAATTTACTTTCCTTATGGTGATACCTCTAAGTTGTATTCATCTACTGGCAGTTCTTACGGTAACAGTAACACTTTTACACCTGTCACAAACTGTTCTCTTGCAAGACCATCAAATACTTTGCTTATAAATCTAGAAAATATAATTTCTGAAAGACAAAATTCTTTCCAGCACAAACACTCATTGTCTATAAAACAGAGTCCTTCAAAGATGCCCCAGAAATACGAAGATGCGTTTGAAACGCTCTACAACAAACTGTGTTCCAAAGAAATCCAAAAGCCTTTGACATTGACAAGACCTCTTGCAAACTCACAGAACCTTGAAGAGAAAGGAAGATTAGTGAAGAGGAATTTAAGTGATTCTGTGAGGTCCACTGTGGAATATGATAGAGAATTTGACAGGATCTATGAGCAATTGTGTAGTAAGCCTGATCCAAAACTTCCTGGATTTCAGAGAGCTGCAAACTTAAAGAAATATGAAGGAATACAGATGTCTGAAACTGTAAATGCTCTTGTTAATTCACCTATTCGAACTTTGCCTGCAATTCCCAGAGTTAAAAGACTAGGAAATTTTCAAAATGATCATCGTTGTTCACCAGTAAAGCGAATTAAAAATATACCAGAATGTTATTTTCCTTCAACAAAATGTCAACAGATTTCTCACAGAGAAAATGTTAATCTTCAGACAGTTGGCATGGATTTTTTGGGCACATATGATGGCAGTAACTGCAGCTTTTTTGACAGTGACAACTGTCAGAGCCAGGTATGTAAAGACTCGGGGTGGGGGAGTTTGTGCACTCTTTGCTGATATTTGGAGACGGATTGAAAAAAACGGATTAGAGCTGGAAGCTGGTTAAACTAATGTCAGCATACTTACGGTGCTATTTGGTCAGTAGGGTTGTTTTACAGGTTTGGGGTTTGGGGGATTTTTATTTGCTAAAATGTAAGTTTTATCGAGTTTCCTGGATCATGTGAGGAGCTCACTATGTTTAATAACCTTGAAAATGGTTATAAAATGTTCAATAAAAGCTTTTGTTACTTTTTAATAGATGATGTCACTAGTTAAAATAGTCTCAAACAGTGTTCCTGTTAATTAAGGTGTCCTTCTGAAATGATGACGTTTTAATCACTTTATAGTTGGACAAGGTGAGGCAAATTAGGCTTTACTGGGTTCTATTGGAATCACTAGACTTGTCGATTTAAATATTAAATTAGTCCCTTATTTCCAGGTTCCAAATAATTTCTTCTGAGGCAAGGTATGAAATAATACATGAATGTTTATGTTGATGTAATCTGTTGATGCTTTATTTCCAGGACTCTGGATTTCATGCGTCTTCAGATAAAACTTTGCTTTGTATTCCTGGTACTTCCCTGCAAGGTTAGTTTCAGAAACTTTATGAATTACTACTTTAGCAATCACAAGCACTTATTCAAAGCGTGAATCTACAAATCTCAATAGACCACTGTCTAGGTGAATTCCTTAGTAATAAGTGGGTATGTTTAATTGTTCCTTGAAGTAAGGAATTTGTGCAGAAAAGGATTTCCTGAATTGCATGTTAACAGATATTTAAGAAGCTTTTCTTTAGGTTAACTAGGACTTTTCCTACTAAAGTGTTGGTTATTATCTGCTGGTTTTCCCTCTTCCTTTATTTTATTTAAAGCTTGCTGTAGCTTTTACTTTCTGTATCTAAACGTTCAAAAAAATGTATGGTTTGTTAATCCTGCACTTGAATAACAGTGCTTTTGTTGGGTTCTTCAGCTTTACAAAAACTTCCAGTTGAGTTGTTGCATGGCTACTGTCACTTAGAATCACAGAACGGTTTGGGTTGGAAGGGACCTTAAAGATATCATCTAGTTCCAGCCCCCCTGCCATGGGCAGGGACACCTTCCACAGACCAGGTTGCTCAAAGCCCCATCCAGCCTGGCCTTGGACACTGCCAGGGAGGGGGCAGCCACAGCTTCTCTGGGCAACCTGTGCCAATGTCTCACCACCCTCACAGTGAAGAAACAGCCTCACTTGCTTAGGTGAATTACATTATTAATCTGGATAAAAAGACTTTTCTCAAATCAAGACAAATTTTATTATTAAAAGAACCTCACAAACCTAAAACTATATTAGTTTAAGATTTTAGATGCTAATCTTTTAATTTCCTTTTAAAAATCTGACTTTGGTTAAAGCATCTTTATGACATAACCTGAATTTTTTTCTTGCTAAGTAAAATCACCAATGTTTATTTTCCATGTTTTATTTTTATGAACCTTGTCATCAAGGTAACAGCTAACTAAGATGTAAAGGAAAACATTGGAGAAGTTGATTTAAAATATTGTCAACTGGTATATAAGAAGAAAAACACAAAAGAAATGCACTTGGTTTTGCCTGGTTCTTGCCTTGTTGCATTTTCATTACTGATTAATTGTAAATAATTTGATTATTTGAGGTGAACTTATCCCATCTTTCTTATTTTGCCTTCCTGAAATTTTAACTTATACTTTATGAATTACACTTATTCTAGTATCAACAGTTTCTTTTACCTTGCTCTAATGGTGATAAATTATAAGTGTAAGCTATGTTTCTTCAATATGCTTAAACATATTCAGTGTATAAAATGTATTTGAGATTAAGTTTTGCCAGAACCTTTTGAATTAGAATATTTTCATAAGGAAATCTGCTTATTGAAGTATACCAGTGAAGTATTGCCGATGTCTTAATAGGCTAATATATATTAACAAGATGCTGTAGTGCCCATGTTACCTGGCGTTGTTCTTACCCTTTTCGTACTACTGTTCTTCATCACCAGAATGTGGGATTGAGAATGCCCACTCTGGTTGGCCTAGGGCAATGGAGTGTTACAGCTGTCCTGGAAATGCACGGAAGTGTCACCAAAGGTAAATACCTCTTGAGAAAAGAAATTTCAAAAGAAATTCTTGCTGCTCTACGTCTATATTGAAGGTATGGAGGTTGTCACTTATATGCATACTCTTAGAATGAAAATCGGCATGGATGCTTGGGAAAGCCCAAGCTAATCAAACCTGCAGACTTGAACACGGGGAGGTAAGTGTCTGTGGACAAAACTAGCCAGGCTCCAGCATGGATGGCCAGTGAATGCAAGTTAGTAAGATAACCTTACTGAACAGCTACTCTAATCCTTATTTTGTGCTCATCTTAGAGGCATTTATTGTTTTGGATATAACTAGAATTGTTTTGATTCTGGCTCTGTGTCTGAGCTAACAAGCCCTCTCAGATCCTTAGGCTGTGGAGAGTGCAATATGTTGCCATTTAAAAGGACTTTCAAAAGTCAGCTTCTGTGCAGTTGGGCATAGTTACCTGCATTTTTGCTCTTTGTAAACAGGCAGTGACTCTAGAAGACATCTGAGATCCTCTCCTCCTCCTGTTATCACTATTGGCAGTGTATTTAGATCTCTGGAAAGAGAATGCTCCTTCCAGCTCCCTGGATACTAGCCTACTACATCTGCTTTTCTTAGAAAATATGTGGCTTTTAATGGATTCTCAAGTTTCAAATCTCTTGGATTTTTAACTACAAACTGATTTAATAGGCCGCAGGATTAAAAAGCATTAAAAATTCTCTACACAGTTTCTCATTTTATTTTCCAAAACATTTTTGATGTGCGCTTTTGCCAAAAAGTCTAATTTGACACCACAAGATATGCTGCCTTCCCAAACTCAGTCAAGAAATGTTTTCACTATGCTTGAGAAGATCATACAGCTGATATAAAATTTTTCTGACAATGTTTGAATTAAAACTTCAAAGGAAGCCTGAATGTGTTTTTAAACTACTTGTATGGAGAACTTAACTAGAAAAGAGGCTGCATGAATTAAAGAAAAAAAAAAGTCAGTTTAAGCAAAGATGGCTCATATTACAAATATATAACAATATTGTATTCGGATTATTTTTGATACAATGGAATATTGGAGGCAAGCTGATGAGCATACAAGCATGTTTCTGTGATGTTGAGTACACCCACTTAGCTGAATAAATTTCTGCTCAGTTCTTGGATTCTCTCTTTTTTTTTCTCACTTCTTTTTCCTGAGTCCATACAGAATAGCCCTTTCTATGAGATTAGTAACTGTTCTGAAGTAAAAGGTTTTCCTTTCCTTGAAGCATGTAAGTAGGGAAGTTAAAGAGCAGGAAATCAGATTTCACAGAGTGCCTTCTTGCCAAGCCACCTGGAATAAAATCTATTTCTTTGTTCCTTAATTACACAAATGCATGTTCGCTGATTTGTAGCCAGAATGGACTGTCAGCTGGCCAGGTTTCTTAGATGTGGCGTGACAGTCTTGGCCTTCTGTGGGTCCCAGGAGCAAAGCTCTTCTCTAATGGCTCCAGAGCCCTCCGAAGTGTTATGCTTAAGCCGTGCGGCAAAATGCTGTGTGTTGTAAAGAGTGGTTGTGGAAAGAAAAGGAATATTGTCTTCCTGTCTGGAACTTGATTGCCTTTACCTAGAAGACTATTATGAAAAGAGAGATTTCAGAAAAGGAAATGTTCATATAACTAGTAAACTTTTCTTCAGCTCTGTGTGAATGCTGTCCTACAGCTGTACTGCTATACTTAATTGTCAGATGTAAACCAAAACACTTTCAAATAGATGTTAAAAAAACTGTGGCGTTTCTTAAGTAATATGGAGGGAAAAAAATACTTTCTCACTTATATCCTTCATTTTTAGCTATTTGTGAACACATTAAAAGATTAAATCTCAAAGCTGAATAGATATTTATATAATTCAGGTTAACGTAGTAGCATTACTATGACATAAGATGAAAAACTTTCCTCTCCATCTGAAAGCACATAGGAATGGAGACAAGGAGTCCTACTGCTGTTCACAGTCAAGATATTCAGATATTTTGCTTTGGTGATTTGTCTTGATTTGTCTCAATTTTATTCTGTTCATGAGAGTTTCAGCAAGTATTTTTGTGTAGTTTACTTTATCATCTAAACAATTCTTTTCTATAGGGTATCCAGAAAACTAGGCTACACTGATGGGAAGAAATAAAATCCTAGCAATCCTTTGGATGACTTTCTGGTCAAAACTCACCAAGGCGCATTCACGGACTGCTACAGAGAAAACTTTTTTTAATGAAGTTTGGGTTTGTTTTAGTTTTCTTCTTCCAAGAATCAAGGGTGTAGCACATGTATGTAAACTGCAGTTACTCGTGATTTATACTTCCCTATAATATAAATCTTCAGGAACTGGTTCATCCCTTTTGACAGGGCACTTCTTGTCCGTTGACTTCATCAAGTATTGCAGGGAATCAGGCTTCCTTCCTATGGCTAAGTTTAAATTATGTATTTGATACTGTTTATAAAAACAGAATGTGATCTGAATTATCTATTAATATGCTTCGATTCTCAATACATTAGTAATAAAATAAGTAACAAGCTCTTTCTGCTCAATTCTGCCTATTCATGCTTTATAGATTTATCACTACTAAACTAATTCAAAAATCTAAACT